GAAAGAACTGATTTCTGTTTAGGAGAGTAGGAGGGGGCTTCAGGGTTTAACAGCTCTGTCAGCGAATGTTTATCACTATCAACATGCCTTCCGTTGCTGTGGAAAATATATGTCATAAAGATAATTATGATGTGAGTCCAGAAGAGTTTGTTGAGTGACTGCTGTGTGTCAGACCCAGGGAATCGGGAAGTGGGGAAATTCTGGTCCCCTCCCTCTTCTCTGTGAGGGGTGAGCGGAGGGACAGGTTGGGGATGGTGGGGGAGCTTCCAGGGAGCAGGAACAGCTGTGTCTGGAGGACCTGGGCTCCGAGCGCAGGGGAGGAGGGCATGTGAGATCACAGGGAGGACTGGTTGTGGACAGTGATGCCTTTTAGCAGGGTATACTTTGGCCGGACATCTGGGTGGGGCCAGGAATTTGGCACCACCTGTAAGAGCAGGACTGAGACACTCGGAGACAGAAAATGTGTATTTGAGAGTGAAGGTGACACTGTAGAAGGACACCTGTCCTCCAGTGTGAGGTGGTGGTTACATACCCCCTGCATGTGGAACTCCTGATGCCCAGGACACGCCCACTCCAGGTGAATTTGCCGTGTGACTCTGCTGCCCCCTGGCGGCTGCTCTGCACATTGCTGGAGGCTCAGGGCGTCCTCTGTCCTGGTGCAGATTCAGAACCACTGCTCAGGTGTGACTCCCCCAGCAGGGATGGCGGGCCCCAGGGCCGGACGTGCTCATCTCTGCGTGGCCCCTGCCTGCCTCAGACCAGGCATGAGGGTCTCAACCTCACTATGAACATATGAGAAGGCCCATTTGCAGGGGGTGATGGCCGGACCCCAGCAACATTGTTGCACAGGTCTCTGGGGTCACGGGAAGTTAATGCATCTGGCTCTGGGCTTGGTCTTGGGGGACACATGACACAGGGACTGACTTTTGGTGGTGCTGGCTGTTGGTGCAAAGCCAAAGAAGGGCAGAGGTAGCTATTGCTCCAAAGTCAGAGACAGAATGACACCCACCCACCCAACATTACTTCAGATCCACTTTCTTCTGGCAGATAATCCTTCCTGCAAGTCACATCCCTGGCCTTCAAAGTTCCATCTAGATGATGGGGCAGCCTAGTGGACACTCTTGGATCTGGGACAGAGCAGAGAGTCCCCCCCCAACATTATTCCCGTGTCTCATCTTCTCCGTTCACCTGAAAGCCAGACGATGGCTACTCTCAGGTCTCTCTCTTCAAGAACTGACCTTTCCCCCAGTGCTGGCCCCTGGTACCAAGACTGTGTGTGACGGGATCCTTGGTTTGGCAGGAGACAAGTAGTTCTGTTTTACCACCAAGGTGGAGGTGGGTGTGGACCATTAAGTCCTGTGGGACCAATGGAGTAATCGGATCATGTGACAGAGACCGTTGGTGTTGACCGATGATCCTGGTGTCCCTGGAACTGAAAGACAGGGGCAGCCTAGCGGTTGTCAATCATCTGTGTCAACAGAGAGCCTCATCTGCGAAAGACTTTTGCAGCTACTGGGCCCCAGTGGAAGCTGTATCGTGACTGTGAGCCCCTACGTCCCCTGGGACCAGAGACACCTATGGGGATGGAGCAAGGCCTGACCTGCCGGGTCATGGGTGGGCATGCGCATTAGCTCTCAGTCCTCAAGTAGAGAAGGTTGATATGAGGTCGGGCCCACCCCCAGGTCCTGAAGCCCCGGGAAGCTGCCTGGTGAAGTGGCATAAACACCCCTGAGCCCAAGTCCTAATACAATGTCTTTTCTCCAGCAACGCCCACCTCTGCCTCATGGGGCGACGCCTCTGACCAGTGTCGCAGAGGAAATCCCTTGGGGCTGGTTTGCAGAGTTTTGGGGATGTTATGAAGACACAACTTAGAGCTAACCATTGAGCATTCCACCCCAACAGGGACACCCTGAAGGGCAGCAGTGGAGGAGGATTCTCCTGGATTGATGAGTGACTACTGGAGTCGGGTATCCTGTCCATTAACCTGAACACAGACGTGGCTGGAGGGGGCTGTGTGCTAATTTATGGGCTGAGACTCAGACTTTTAGTGGACCGTCAGATACGTGGCAGGAATACAAGGAAAAGACACAAGTAGAACCCCCGCAGAGGGACCCGGAGATTCATTTATTTGTGTCCCATGAAAATTCTTAGCACCGTGTGTCCTGAAAAGGAAGTGATGTTAATAACCAGGTGGACAGGAGGACTCTGTGGATAGCAGCCTGCCTCCCTCTCCAATCATCGCTGGGTGGACGCTGTGACCCGGCTCCCCCATGGGAAGGGGGATGCTCCCCCATGGGAAGGGGAGCATCCTAGTCAGGATGGTGCCAGTGTCTACAGCCGACCTGCCCACGGCCACTTCCGTCACCAGCCTGCCAATAGCACAGACCAGCACGGCTCCTGTTGGACACCCTTCCCTCGGGAATACGCCAGGGACCTGGTGGTCTGTTGATGACATCAGACCTCTTCCAGCATGGAGGGGGAGCTCTGCTCTTACTGACAGATCTTTGCCGCAGACTGGGAGTTGCCCTCTGTGACTGCAGTGCTTCTGCCCCAACTGTTGTCCCCGGACTCATAGAATTCTGTGTTTCCTCACGGGGCTTCTGACCGTGAGCTCACTCCACATCAGAAGAGAGGTTGCCGTGGGCCCAGGCTCACTGGCTTCACCGGTCCCACCACTTTCCCCAACATTCTAAGGCTGCTGCCTTAGTGATGGACCAACAGCCGATGGAAGAGCCAGTCACTCTGCCAGACAAGTGCCAACGCCGTGTGGGGGCGGGTAATGCCTTCCAGGTGTGACATATGCTCTAAATCTGTGCACAATATATGATGCTCCTTCCATCATCAGGATTCACGGGGCCAGGATTCAAGGTGAGGGATTGGGAGGGCTCCACCCATATTATCCCTGGGACCTGCTGAGGACATTTGCTCCCTGTCCCCTGACCTCCAATCTGCTGGCCTAGAGTCTTAGTTCTGAAGGGGAAATGCTTCCACCCAGAGACACGACAATAATCCCATTTTACTGAGACTAAGACTTTCTTGTGACTTAGGGTTCTCCTGCCTCCCTGGACACCTCTCTGTCTGTCTCCACCCAGGCCCTCCACACCCTACACACACCTTAGGCACAAAAAGACCATGACAGCCCCATCCTGCCAGGGAGAAATCCACCCCTGATCCACCGTGTGCAGAGCAGCCTGGAGGGTGGGGGGAGGGCAGCCTGGGAGCTCAGATCTGGGGGAACCGGGCCAGACCTGTCACTGCTTTATCCATAGGCCTCTAGGGGCAGGAGGAGAGGGTAACACAGATGGAGGGGCTTTTATGTCCCACTTCCCCATCTGCCTGTGTCACTGTGAGCATTATACCCACTGCTGTCCCATACCTGACAGTAATAGTCGGCCTCGTCCTCGGCCTGGGACCCGCTGACGGTCAGGGTGGCTGTGTCCCCTGACCTGGAGCCAGAGAATCGCTCAGGGATCCCTGAGGGCCTGCTGTTATCATTATAGATGACCAGCACAGGGGACTGGCCTGGCTTCTGCTGGAGCCAGTGAGCATAATAGCTTCCTAAGCTGCCAAATTGGCAGGTGATACTGGCCGTCTGTCCCAAGGACACGGACACCGCGGAGGGCTGAGTCACTGAAGAGGCCACAGAACCTGCAGGAGATGACAAGAGAGTGAGGGTGGGGATGTGGATCTGAATCTCTAGGACCACGCACCCCTCAGCATCCCCTGTGCTGAGCTGATGTTCAGGGCCAGGCTGATCCCTGGGTACCCTGAGATCTGTGCCCTGGGGGCAGCACCTGTGCAGAGAGAGAGGAGGGGCAGCAGGAGGGTGGTCCAGGCCATGGTGGAGGCACCCTGAGCTCTGCTTCTGAGCCCACAGCCGGGGGTGGGGTCTGGGGACCTCTCTTATCCTCAGAAGGGACATCCTCATGCAAATCTACTTCCTGGCCCTGTGGCCCTGGTGACCAGCTCCCTGCTCAGCATAGAGCAGCTGGGCTCAACAGAGGATGTCAGTGAGAACCCCACTCCCAGGCTAGAGCCCAGGTCCCAGAGGTGTCTCTGGTGCTGAGTGAGGAACTGCTGCCCCCTGCCCCCAGCAAGTGCACTCACACCTCAGTCTGGGCCTGGGCTTCCCCTCTGTGCCTGGGTGACACAGTCATCCTATGTAGTGCTGAGGACATCACAGCGGGGCTGGGCAGTGCTTGAAGCATGTGCTGCAGGGACAGCGGTCACCATGCTTCTCTGAGAGGCCAGAATTTCTTCATTGGACAAAGTGAAATTGCTCATGTACCTTTCAGGAAGTCTTTTCTTCAAATATATCAATTTATTTTTGACGAAAAAGTTAGATGATTTGTTTGGCTCTAGGGTTAAGCAAGAATTGTTTGGTGATGCCAAATACATGATTCGAAAAAGAAAGATGAAAACATTGAACCCCATCGGTATCAACATCTTTTGTTTGCAAACTCTCTAAGGGGGATGAAAAAAACAGAAATAACAGACTGAAAGAAAACTCTGCAAAACACAGACCCAGTGAACGACTAGTGGAGAGAATATATAAACATGCTGAAATGTAACCAGTAAAAAGAAAAAAATGACAAGAATATTTCACTTAGAGAATGGCCAGTGGACTAGAAGAAACAGTTTGTGGAAGAGGACAGCGAGGTGATAATGAGCTTGTGAACAGCCCTCCCTTATCAGCCAGGAGGGAAATGCAGATGACACCACAGTGAGGTATCTCTTCTCACCTATCAGAGGGGCTACAATAAAATCTTGTCAAACCCAAATGCTGACAAAGATGTGGAGAAACTTAGTCGCACATACATGACTAAGGGAAGTGTGAGCTGGTGCAGAATGTCTCCTAAAGAATTCACAGCTTCTTAAAGAATTTACCTTGAGGTCACCATACACCCCAGCCATGCACAACTGAGCATTTATTTTAAAGAAGTGAGAACTTATGGTCACAGGGAAATTAGACGCATTAGTCCACAGATCCTGAGTGCGGACCAGCCCCAGCTGAGAGCAGTGTTGACGTCCTTCAGTGGGTGACTGACTGGGTCCCAGACTTTTGGAATGGAACCGTGGACCAGTACTCAGCCATGAAAAGGACCGGATGCTGAGCGCACAGGGCAGTTTGGATGCATCTACAGGGGATTATGCAGAGTGAACAATGCCAATCCCAAGGCGAACTGCTATGTGATTGTACGTTTTTCCTTCTATCCATCATTTCTAATGGTTTTCTTTTCCCTCTGTGGTTTCATCCCTTTCCTATGGTTCTATGTCAAGAATCTGCAGAAAGTTTGGAGATGGAGACCAAGGAACGATGTCAGGGGTTACGGAGGGTCCCGGTGCAGAAGGGAGAGCCCTGATCATCATAAGGAGCCCCCTTCAGCCTGCCCGTGGGGGAGGGCAGGGGGCTGTGCCCGGGTTAGAGCCGGAGGGTCTGTGGGCTGGGAGGCCGCTCTGGCCGTGCAGGGCCGTTTCCATGGGTCTTGCTGTAAAATTCAATCTGCCCGTGTCTGTCTTTTAATTGTGGGATTTCCCCCACTTACCATCGACAGGATTCATAACACATTTCTGTGAAAATGTCTCATCTTGCTTCTTCTTTACTTTTTGTCCCATGTCTTCCTCATTGCTACTTTGCTTTTTCTTTATTTTTAATTAACTGAATATTTTTTATGATTTCATGTTCACTTCTTTTATGGCTGATTGGCTGAAACTGTTGTTTAAGTTGGTGCTATTTAAACGCTGGCTACCGGGCCCACTGGACATGCCAAACTTGCCCAGATATTACACCACTTCTCACCCAGGGCACTGACGTCACCACGTGACCCCCTTCCTCTCAGAACTTTGAGCTACACGAGCGTGTGTTTGCCTCACTAGACATTGCAGACCGTGTTGTACACTGTTATTCTTTTCTGCTCTAGAGATTTCTTTAATAGAATGTGATATGAGACAGAGCTTCTCTCTTTGTGCACGTGGCCACATATCTGACCTTCCCATTTCTTTGTGTGGATTCCTATTTCTATCCAGGTGAGAGGGGTCCTTGGCCATTTCAGGCTCTGAGGCTCTGCTGGTGATTGAGTCTCTCTTTGGGGGTCTGAGAATGTTGTCTTCTGCCTTCCATTTGGACAGATATTTCCAGTGAGTGGAGTTCAGAGTGGACACGGCTTCTTCTGTTGCTGTTGTGTTGTGTTGTGTTGGTTTGTTTTTGCTTTTTGATTCTAAAGAGACGGCTGCAGTGTCTGCTTGCATCCGGTGGTCTCGAAGGAGGGAGGCCCTCAACCCACTGTGCTCCTTCCTCTGGGGAGAGCGTGTCCTTTCTCTGCGTCTGCTGTTGTGTCTCTTTGACACGGCTTCTAAGGACTCGACGTCAGTGTGTGTTGTTGTTTCCTTTGTGTTTCTTGTGCTTGGAGTTTGTGGAGCTTCCTAGATCTGTGGGTTCCTAGGTTCCATTGAAATTAGAATATTTTCAACCAGTATTTCTTCAAATATTTTTTCTTTCCACCTCCCCAACATATTTTCTGACTCTGAGATTCCAATGCCCCTGTACTAGGCTTGTGGAAATTTTCCTACAACATATGATGCTCTGTTCATTCATTTTTCAGTTTGTTTCCCTCTGTGGTTTCGTGCCTTTCCCATGGTTCTATGTTGATGATCACTAAGCTTCTCATTGCTGTGGAAAACATTGTCCTTCTCATGCAGTGTAATTGCATCTCACTGTGGTTTTCATTCCTAGAGGTTTAAGTTGGGTTTTTAAAACATATCTCCTTAGTATGTAGTGAACATAGGCTGTCATTCCTCTACCCTCATGAACAAGTGGAGGAGGAGGATAACCATTGTCTGAGCATCCTTCCTGCTACATCTTATCATCTGTGCAATTTCATGACCAGATAGGAATTGTCTCTTGGGTGACACAGATGGGGAGGGGGTTTGTGTCCCACTTCCCCATCTGCCTGTGTCACTGTGAGCATTATCACTACTGTCTGCTGACTGACAGTAATAGTCAGCCTCGTCCTCAGCCTGGGCCCCGCTGATGGTCAGGGTGGCTGTGCCCCCAGAGCTGGAGCCAGAGAACCGCTCAGGGATCCCTGAGGGCCGTTCACTATCTCTGTAGATGACCAGCACAGGGGCCTGGCCTGGCATCTGCTGGTACCAGTGAGCATAACTACTTCCTAAACTGCTTCCTTGGCAGGTGATCCTGGCCGTTTGTCCCAAGGACACGGACACTGCAGAGGGCTGAGTCAGTGCAGAAGAGGCCACAGAACCTGCAGGGGATGAGAAGAGAGTGAAGGTGGGGACCAGGGTCTCATCCCCTACGACCACGCAGCCCGCAGCATCCCCTGTGCTGAGCTGACATTCAGGGCCAGGCTGATCCCTGGGTACCCTGGGGTCTGAGCTCTGGGGGCAGCACCTGTGCAGACAGAGAGGAGGGAGAGCAGGAGGGGGGGTCCAGGCCATGGTAGAGGTGCCTTGAGCTCTGCCTCTGAGACCTGACAGCAGGGCAGGGCTCCTCAAGGTCCCTCTTATTCCCTCCTAGAACCTTTGGGGCTGCGAATGGTTAGTGTTTATGCAAATGCCCTTCTCCTCTGGGGCTGAAATTTGATCCAAAGCAGTTGTGGCCTCAGGACATGTGACTCAGGAGGACAGACTAGATCCCCCATTTCCTCCAAGCAGCTCCAGGGCAGGGAATCAGCCCTGGCCTCCAACCTTTACTCTGGAGGATTCCTGGAATCACTCGTGGATCTGGTGCATAGATGATCATCTGTTGATGGTGCAAGGTCCTTAGTGTGACAAGTTTCCTGGACATTTAATATTCTAATTATAATTGCCAATACTTCCTGAACATGACTTCTTCCCTGTATGGTCTCCATCCACCAAATCAGACATCAGCTCTCATGCCAGGCAGGGGTGTGCCTGCAGGAATGTTCCGCCTCTTCTTTTCCAAACAGTCCACACAGGACGTGTTTATATCTTCTGTGCAGTTTCTAGACTTCTGTGTGTAGCAGCAGGTCTCGTGTCCCTTATGCAGGTTGTCACATGCTAATTTAAATATTTTCCTGGGACATGGTCTTCCTCTGGGAAGGTCACTCTCTTTGCAGATCACCCAGTTTCCTCTTTCATTGCACCTCTAGGAGTTTGGACACCAGTTTGGTGAGCAAAGCCAGGCCTTGTGAGGCTGTCAGGATGTTCTTTCTTTCCATGAAGGAGGGACATATTCAGCCAACGAATGATCAGTCGGTGACTGTCCAGATACCAACCCAGTTCCTCCCAGGACCTCGTTTTAGATAAAGGCAAAGCCTTTGGTATAACTGGGTGTCTACTGTGCGGTTGGGGAGGTACGTGGAAACAGAACAGGTGCTCTTGATGGCGACTGTGATTTACAGCACCCACACCTGGTAAAGCGCGATACTGGTGACGGGGTTAAGGTCATCACTTCCGATAGAGAAGCGGTTGTTTGCCAGTTTCTTACACACAGCTCCCAACCGCAGGCGACCTGCTGTCAGTGTACCGGCTCATCGCAGGCTGACCTGTGGAGCTTTCATTCTCTGTCCTGCTTTCCCCATGGGAATCGTCCCCACTGCGTGGTGGCATCAGTGGGTCTCCTCCAGCCTTACCTCTCCTCTTCTCCATCACTTCTGTGAAGGGCGGCCCTCAGACAAATCCCCCACCCAGCTTTCTGCTTGCCCCCAGGGCTGAGTCCCAGCGGGGGGAGCACCTGCCAGATGAAGGGTGCATGGAAGCATGGCATGCTGAGGGCTTTATTTCTGTGTCCCTTCTTCTGTCACCCACCCTCCTTGGGTGTGAGTGTCATCACAGCTGCTGAGGGCTGCACGGTGACACTGATGGGAAGTACAAATGGTGTCAGTTGAGAAGATTCACAGCTGGGCCAGTT